GGTCTGGAGAACAAGCCCTATGAGGAGCGGCTAAAGGAGCTGGGCATGTTTAGCCTGAAGAAGAGAATGCTGAGAGGAGATATGATAGCCATGTATAAATATGGGAGAGGAAGCCACAGGGAGGAGGGAGCAAGCTTGTTTTCTGCTTCCCTGGAGACTAGGACGCGGAACAATGGCTTCAAACTACAAGAAAGGAGATTCCATCTGAACATTAGGAAGAACTTCCTGACTGTGAGAGCTGTTCAGCAGTGGAACTCTCTGCCCCAGAGTGTGTTGGAGGCTCCTTCTTTGGAAGCTTTTAAACAGAGGCTGGATGGCCATCTGTCAGGGGTGATTTGAATGCAATATTCCTGCTTCTTGGCAGAATGGGGTTGGACTGGATGGCCCATGAGGCCTCTTCCAACTCTTTGATTCTATGATTCTATGTGACACAGTGTTCCCATCATCATCATCTCGTTTTAATCTCGCAGTCAAGAGGCAAAGCGGGTTTTACATGGCAATAAGGAGCGCAATGGGCCAATGTTGACTCTCCTCCTTTTCCTGCCATGTGTGAGTTGCCACCTCACCATCTTGTAGACATAAGAAGTACATAATACATGGACTGGGATTTCCTGTTTCTCTTGGCAGACATCAGCCAACCTTTGGTGTTAAGAATGACTGGGCTGTAGAGCACTCGGTAAACAAAGGTCTATTCCAGGCGGTACGACGACGTGGCAGGTGCTGTTAGGAGTTCTTCCTTTTAGAGGCAGCTGGGCACACAATTCACTTCTGGGGACAGGCACAGATTGGGAGCCTCCCAAGTTAACCCTTTTGGAACAATGAAAGAAAGGTAGTAGGCTCTCCCTGGAGATTCCACTTGCACATTAGGAAGAACTTCCTGGCTGCAAGGAGTGCTGCTCAGCAGTGGAACTCTCTGCCTCGGAGTCTGGTGGAAGCTCCTTCCTTGGAAGCTTTTAATCAGAGGCTGGATGGCCATCTATCAAGGGTTGCTTTGCTAAGGGTTGCAGAAGTGCACATGATAGTGTCAGGGTACTTTGTCTGCCCTCATGGCCATCTGTCGGGGGTGATTTGGTTGTGCTTTTTCCTGCATGGCAAAACTCTACTCCTTCTATGATTCTAGGTAAAGGAAGGTATTTCTGCTGGGGAAGAGTTGTAGTTTGCCAAAGAGTGCAAACTACAACTCCCAGGATTGAGTGTTGAGTCAAGGCAGCTAAAGTGGTGTCAAACTGCATTTATCCTACAGTGTAGATCAGGCATGGGCAAACTTTTGGGTATCAGCCAGCACGTCAACGACTTAAATCAAGAAATAGTTTTCTAAGATCTACAGAGACACTGCTGGAACACCTCAGCAAGCGAGAGTCCAAAAGTGGCAGGCTCAAACCCAGAAACAATAACTATAGAATCATAGAATCAAAGAGTTGGAAGAGATCTCATGGGCCATCCAGTCCAACCCCCTGCCAAGAAGCAGGAATATTGCATTCAAATCCCCTGACAGATGGTCATCCAGCCTCTGTTTAAAAGCTTCCAAAGAAGGAGCCTCCACCACACTCCAGGGCAGAGAGTTCCACTGCTGAATGGCTCTCACAGTCAGGAAGTTCTTCCTCATGTTCAGATGGAATCTCCTCTCTTGTAGTTTGAAGCCATTGTTCCATTGCGTCCTAGTCTCCAGGGAAGCAGAAAACAAGCTTGCTCCCTCCTCCCTGTGGCTTTCTCTCACATATTTATACATGGCTATCATATCTCCTCTCAGCCTTCTCTTCTTCAGGCTAAACATGCCCAGCTCCTTAAGCCGCTCCTCATAGGGCTTGTTCTCCAGACCCTTGATCATTTTAGTCGCCCTCCTCTGGACACATTCCAGCTTGTCAATATCTCTCTTGAATTGTGCCCAGAATTGGACACAATATTCCAGGTGTGGTCTAACCAAAGCAGAATAGAGGGGTAGCATTACTTCCCTAGATCTAGACACTATGCTCCTATTGATGCAGGCCAAAATCCCATTGGCTTTTTTTGCCGCCACATCACATTGTTGGCTCATGTTTAACTTGTTGTCCACGAGGACTCCAAGATCTTTTTCACACATACTGCTCTCGAGCCAGGCATGTCCCCATTCTGTATCTTTGCATTTCATTTTTTCTGCCAAAGTGGAGTATCTTGCATTTGTCACTGTTGAACTTCATTTTGTTAGTTTTGGCCCATCTCTCTAATCTGTCAAGATCGTTTTGAATTCTGCTCCTGTCCTGTATCCCTCCCAATTTGGTGTCGTCTGCAAACTTGATGATCATGCCTTCTAGCCCTTCATCTAAGTCATTAATAAAGATGTTGAACAGGACCGGGCCCAGGACGGAACCCTGCGGCACTCCACTTGTCACTTCCTTCCAAGATGAAGAGGAAGCATTAGTGAGCACTCTCTGTGTTCGTCCACTTAACCAATTACAGATCCACCTCACCGTAGTTTTGCCTAGCCCACATTGGACTAGTTTCCTTGCCAGAAGGTCATGGGGGACCTTGTCGAAGGCCTTACTGAAATCCAGGTACGCTACATCCGCATTCCCCGCATCTACCCAGCTTGTAGCTCTATCGAAGAAAGAGATCAGATTAGTCTGGCATGACTTGTTTTTGATAAATCCATGTTGACTATTAGCGATGACTGCATTTGTTTCTAAGTGTTTGCAGACGCTTCCTTAACAATCTTTTCCAGAATCTTGCCTGGTATCGACGTGAGGCTGACCGGACGGTAGTTGTTTGGGTCATCCTTTTTTCCCTTCTTGAAGATTGGGACCACATTGGCCCTCCTCCAATCTGCTGGAACTTCTCCCGTTCTCCAAGAACTCTCAAAGATGGTTGCCAATGGTTCCGAAATGACTTCCGCTAGTTCCTTCAATACTCTGGGGTGTAGTTGATCTGGCCCTGGGGACTTGAACTCATTAAGAGCGGCCAGGTATTCCTGGACGACTTCTTTCCCAATTTCCCTCGATATCTACATTCCAGCGATAGGAGTCATCCCACCAGGTTTCAGTGATCCTTATGATATCATATTTGTGGTGTTGTGCTAAAAGTTGGAGTTCGTCTTGTTTATTTCCCATGCTCTGTGCATTAGTGTAAAGACATGTGAGCCCCTGAGATCTTCCCTTGAGCTGTTTAATTGGGATTATTGTGCTTTTGGTACTTGGTCCTTGTTGTGTTTGTGCAGTCCTCCGTTTAGCCTTCTGGCGGTTCCCTGACATTGTGGGTAAAGTAGTGTTCGCAAGGCTGTTGTCCCCCTCCCCCGGTGGACCTAGTTTAAAGTGCATCTAATGAGGTTTGCGAGTCTGTGAGCAAAAAGGTGTTTTCCTACTTGTGTGAGATGCACCCCATCCCTTGCCAGTAGGCCATCCTCCTGGAAAAGCAGGCCATGGTCGAGGAAGCCAAAGCGTTCCTCCTGACACCATTTTCTAAGCCAGTCATTGACCTGTACTATTTTTCTGGCTCTTGTGGGTCCGTGTCTTACAACAGGGAGGAGGGATGAAAAGACCACCTGTACATTACATTCTTTTAGCTTTGCTCCTAGAGCTCGAAAATAATTTGTGATCTTTTGAAACGTATGCCTTGCAGTATCATTGGTTCCTACATGAATCAACATGAGGGGAGGACGGTGATAGGGCTTGAGGAGCCTGGTGAGCCTCTGAGTGATATGGTGTATTTTTGCCCCCGGTAGGCAGCATATTTCTCGAGCCATCCCATCTGGTCTGGAAATGACGGCTTCCGTTCCTCTAAGGAGGGAGTCACCTACTACCAAGACCTGCATACCTGCTAGGAGGATTGGCTGCCTGGCGATGGAAGGAAGGAAGGGAAGGAGGAAGGACAGAGAGAAGGAAGAGAAAGAGGGAAGGAAGGATGGAAGGAGAAAGAGGGAGGGAGGGAGGAGGAAGAGGAAGGAAAGAAAGGGAAGGAAGGAGAATGGAAGGGAAGAGGAAGAGGAAGGAAAAGAGAGGAGAAAGGGATGAAGAGAAGGATGGAAAGGAAGGATAAAGGAAAGAGAGAGAGAAAGACAGACAAAAGGGAAGGAAGGAAGGAGAAAGAGGGAGAGAGGGAGGAAAGAGGGAAGGAGAGAGGACTGAAGGGAGGGAGGAGAAAGAGGGAGGGAATGGAAGGAGGTAAAGAGGAAGGAAAGAGAGAAGGAAGGAAAAACGGAAGGGAAGAAAGGACGAAAGGATGGAAGGATGGATGGATGGAAGGGAGGGAGGGAGGGAAGGAAGGAAGGAGTAAGGAAGGAAGGAAAGAGAAAAGGAAGGAAGGAAGGACAAAAGGGTGGAAGGGAAGGAGCAATTCTGAGAGTGCCTTGGACCACAAGAAGATCCAGCCTGTCCATCCTCCAGGAAGGAAGGAAACATCAGGGCATATTGAGGATTCGTGCCAAGTTTGGTCCAGATCCATCATTGTTTGAGTTCACAGTGCTCAATGGATGTAGGTGAACTACAACTCCCAAACTCAAGGTCAATACCCACTAAACTCTTCCAGTATTTGCTGTTGTTCATGGGACTTCTGTGTGCCAAGTTTGGTTCAATTCTATCATTGGTGAAGTTCAGAATGCTCTTTGATTGTAGGTGAACTATAAATCCCAGCAATTACAACTCCCCAATGACAAAATCAATTCCCCACCCCGAACCCCACCAGTATTCAAATGTGGGCGTATCAGGTATTTGTGCCAAATTTGGTCCAATGAATGAAAATACATCCTACATATCAGATATTTACGTTATGATTCATGACAGTAGCAAAATTACAATTATGAAGTAGCGACGAAAATAATTTCATGGTTGGGGGTCACTACAACACAAGGAACTGTATTAAGGGGTCACGGCATTAGGAAGGTTGAAAAACACTGATCTATTTGGAGGGGGTTTGTCATGGCCTTCCTCTGAGGCTGGGAGAATATACAACTGGCCCAAAGTTCCCCTTTTAGCTTTCCAGGGCTAAGTGGGATTTGAACAAGGTCACGCTGGTTTCCCCAAATGTCTTACCCAGAAGTCAAGGTTGTACTTGATGTTCCGGAAGAGGCCTCCCACCATGGCGGCCAAGTGAATGACGTGGGTGGGCTTGTGCTTCTCAAAGAGCGCTTTGGTCTCGGCAGCATTCCTTAAAAAGGGGAAGGAATGAGAGTTAGGAAAGGACGGATAATATCAAGCCGAGAAGGTTTGGATCTCTTTTGGGCATTTTCTATGCCCTGCCATTGGACAGCCCAGCAAGCCTTGTGCATACAGCGGTGGGACCGAGGCATTCATTAAAGATTTCCCCTGACCCACTTCTATCTATCACAGGATGCTGAAACAGCACATGTCTAATGATAAAAGTCTCTATACATTATGTGCCAATTTACAACTCTGAACTAATAACGGTTTTGACAGGTGCTGAAGTAGTGTGAGGTGTGATGATGGATCCAGTAGAATACAGAGCTCTCCTCAAGCTCCTTTCCTTGCACACCAAACAAAAGAGGCATCCAACGAGGTGAGGATTCTCCATCACATGATATAGTCAAGAACTGGCATCGTCAATTCCAACGTGGTCAGACTTTGGTGCAAACAGCTCCAATTCCAGGGCGATCCCACTCTGCTATTGAGGAACACAGCATCTGGCAAGTGGAGGTCGCCATTTGGGAAAATCATTGCATAACCATTCACCATCGAGCCCAAAATGTCAAGATGAGTGTGGGGTCCGTGGAAAAAACCACCCAAGACCATCTTCACATACATAAGGGGTCTGCTCGCTGGGTCCCCCGGCTGCTCACACCTTTCCAGAAGCAGGGACGAGTCTAATGTTCTCAAGCTCTGTTGACAATGACGTGCCATGGAAGCCGGATTTTTTCAACAGAGCAGTGGTTCTCAACCTGGGGTCCCCAGATGTTTTTGGCCCTCAACTCCCAGAAATCCTAACAGCTGGTAAACTGGCTGGGATTTCTCGGAGTTGTAGGGCAAAACACCTGGGGACCCACAGGTTGAGAACTACTGCAACAGACTGATCACACAGGATGAAAGTTGGGTCCATCACTCTGATCCTGAGACTCAAGTCCAGTCGATGCAATGGAAGAATAATGACTCACCACTTCCAAAGAAGGCATGTGCCCAACTCTTGGCAGGCAAGGTCATACTAACACTATTTTGGGACCAGCACAGAGGCGGACTGGTGGATTTCCTAGAAAAGGGGATTATGGTCACTGGGGCATACCATGCTTCACTGCTGCGGAAATTGCGGGAGGCCATCGAAACCAAGAGACAATGTGGCATGCTCACCCAAGGTGTCCGCCTTCTGCCAGACAATGCACCAGTTCACAACTCACCTGTTTCCCAAATGGAAGAGGCATGCTCCTGTGGAAATTCAACCATATCCCCCCGATTCATCCGACCTCACACCATCAGACTTCCACCTCTTCCCAACAAGGAAGGTATGTTTGAAGGGCAAGCCTTTTTCAGGTGACGAGTGTTGGAGTTCAGCCTGTGATTGTGTTTCAGGATCAGGGTGCTTTGGATGTGGAAAGTGATGCCAATGAATTTCAAGATGGCAATGGTTTGGTCAATGATACTGATGCAGAGAAGGACTAGGAGATCCCTGTGCAAAGTGTAGTTTCCCATGAGAATGTCCCTGAAGGATGTGGGGATGATGGTGTGCTTCCTGAATTGTTACCAGAGAGTTCCCAGGATTTGGGGCTTGAATACAACTGGGCACCTGGCCCAGCTGCAAAACTTAATGAGCAAATAGATAGGAGGCAGATTAGTCAAAACAGGCAGACCAAACAGTGGCTTCGGCAGTCTGCCAGAATCCTACAGAAAAAGATAAGGGAATCTCAAGTAAAGCGAAACCAATTTCTGAGTGCTTGGGATAGCTTAACGACGGGATAAAAGTTCCAAGTATGGGAAATATAGTCAGATGAAGCATCATTTGGAATCAAGTGAAGTTCTGGTCCTTGTTTCATGGAAGCCTTGCTGGGAAGATTCTTGTCTAAGTATTTCTTGTTTCATGATTCGGATTCTTGGATTGTATGGATGCCCACTCATGCCTTGGATTAATGTTTCCTGGTTTTCTGAATTATATTAGAGAAGTGTAGAGTTTGTTTTTATGGACTTTGCTGAACTTTACCCTGGACTATTTTTTCTGCTGCTTATTTTCTTACTTAATTGGATTTACTTATCTCTTTAAAGTGCTTTTTACTTGCTGCTTTTAACTATCTTCAATAAAAGGATTGTTTTCCAATCAACGGTGTGGTGTTTACAGTCAGAGGGCTTTTCCTAGAATCCTAGAATCAAAGAGTTGGAAGAGACCTCATGGGCCATCCAGCCCAACCCCATTCTGCCAAGAAGCAGGAATATTGCATTCAAATCACCCCTGACAGATGGCCATCCAGTCCCTGTTTAAAAGCTTCCAAAGAAGGAGCCTCCACCACACTCCGGGGCAGAGAGTTCCACTGCTGAACGGCTCTCACAGTCAGAAAGTTCTTCCTCATGTTCACTCCTGTCCTGGAGTGCAACAGAAGTTATGTTTGAAGGGCAAACATTTCTCAGATGATGACACTCTGATTTCTGACGTCACAATGTGGCTTTTGGAGCAACCTGTCAATTTCTACAAGCAAAGTGTTGACAGTTGCTTCAAAAGATGGGAGAAGTGTGTGTCCCTTGTTGGCACCCATGGAGAGGAGGACTCAAAACTGGGCCAAGTTTCATTGCCCTCAGTCCACAGGAAGTGGGTCCGGGGAAAACTTGAATGAACACCCCTCATAAGTACCCGAAATGGATACCAATTTCAGGGGCGACATCCCAGTGGAGCGGTTTAGCCAACCCCACAATCAAAGTGGAAATTACTGCCCTTTCCAAGTCACCAGGCTTTTCCCAGAAGCTGCTGTTACTATAAATGCAATATATTTTTAGGATTAATTTTATGTTCGGCCATCATGCCTAACGACCCTGCTCTCCAAAAGATATAACGCTACATAAAGTAATATTTAACATTGAAGGGCGCAGTCATAATAGACCAATTTAAAATGCCGGAAGTGTTTACTCGCACTGTCAACCAAAGTCTTTGAAAAATCCACTATTTTCTCTTTCTGGGACTGTTTTCTTTCCTTTTCCTTCAGCCTTTATGAGGCAGTTTTTCATGCACGGCTAATTGCTGCACCAGGCATTCACCGATATCCTCTTTAAATCCTTCCAAACGCAACCTACTAATAAATAAGCAATTAAAGGTTTATGAGGCTGTACGTTATCTCGTTTTTTTTTTTAAAGCTCCCACTGAAGAACCCGACTCACGTTAAGTCAGCATCTTTGGAGGACACGAAAACCCACTCCTCGTCTGGCCGGCCTTCCCCATCCGCTACCACTTTCTCAATGGCTTTGCCCACAAGGCCTGATCCGCCGGTCACCAAAATGCGCTTCGTCTTTGGCTCAGACATGATTTCGAGATCTGTGCAAAAATGGAAGGAGTAAAAGTATTATAGTCGAAGGCTTTCATGGTCGGAATCACTGGGTTGTTGTAGGTTTTTTCGGGCTGTATGGCCATGGTCTAGAGGCATTCTCTCCTGATGTTTCACCTGCATCTATGGCAAGCATCCTTAGATCCAGAGATGCTTGCCATAGATGCAGGCGAAACGTCAGGAGAGAATGCCTCTAGACCATGGCCATACAGCCCGAAAAACCTACAACAACCCAAAACTATTATAGTAACCAACAAGCATTCATGGTGCGCCATTTCGTTCCGCTGTTGCAAAATCCACACAGGATTGAGTTCACAACAGGGCCTTCTTTGTGGTAGTCCCTCAGTGTTGACATTTCCTCCCTAATGAAGCCAAAATGAGGCTGTCTAATGGGATTTTGGGGTTGCAGTGGCACGGCAGATTAAACCGCTAACCTGCAGAACTTGTTGACCGGAAGGTCGGCAGGTCGAATCTGCAGACAGCGTGAGCTCCTGCTGTTAGCCCCAGCTTCTGGCAACCTAGCAGTTCGTAAACATGCAAATGTGAGGAGATCAATAAGTATCACTCCATTGGGAAGGTAACAGCACTCCATGCAATCATGCTGGCCACATGACCTTGGAGGTGTCTATGGACAACGCTGGCTCTTCATCTTAGAAATTGAGATGAGCACCATCCCCCCAGAGTGGGACACGACTAGACTTAATGTCAAGGGGAAATCTTTACCTTTAATAGCATTTGGAGAACTAATTATTTCAAAGTTAAGGACTGTTAATAAGCTGTCCAGAGAGAGAGTAGTATGTGGTCTGAGTGTTGGACGAGGGCCCCTTTTACGCTGCCATATAATCCAGATTATCAAACTAAGTAATCTTTATTATTATTATTATTATTATTATTATTATTATTTGTTTATTTATATCCTACTCTAAGGAAACTCAAAGCGGCAAACACTAAAAATATTACAATAGAATTTAAAATATACAAATATACAATATTAAAATATTGTTAGTATTAAAAACATTACCTGCTTTGAACTGGATTATATGAGTCTATACTGCCATATAATCCAGTTCAAAGCAGATAATATGGAGTTTACATGGCAGTATAGAAAGGGTCTAGGGCCCCTTCCGCACAGTTGTATAAAATCCCACATTATCTGCTTTAAACTGGATTATATGAGTCTACACTGTCATATAACCCAGTTCAAAACAGGTAAAATGGATTTTACATGGCACTGTAGAAGGGGTCTAGGGCCCCTTCTACACAGTTGTTATAAAATCCCACATTACCTGCTTTGAACTGGGTTATATGGCAGTGTGGACTCAGATAACCCAGTTCAAAGCAAATATTGTGGATAATCTACCTTGATAATCTGGGTTATATGGCTATGTGGAAGGGCCCTAGGACTCTGGAGACAAGGTTCAAATCCCTGCATGACCCTGGAAACCCACTGGATAGCCTTGGGTTGTTGTTGTTGTTGTTGTTATTTGAAACACAACAAGATTAGTACACAGCAAACAAGATTTTTGTCATTTGGGAGTTGTAGTTGCTGGGATTTATAGTTCACCTACAATCAAAGAGCATTCTGAACTTCACCAATGATAGAACTGAACCAAACTTGGCACATAGAAGTCCCATGACCAACAGCAAATACTGGAAGTGTTTAGTGGGCATTGACCTTGAGTTTGGGAGTTGTAGTTCACCTACATTCAGAGAGCACTGTGGACTCAAACATTTATGGATCTGGACCAAACTTGGCACAGATACTCAATATTCCCAAATGTGAACACTGGTAGAGTTTGGGGAAAGTAGACCTTGACGTTTGGGAGTTTTAGTTCCTGGGATTTATAGTTCACCTCAAATCAAAGCGCATTCTGAACCCCAACAACGATAGAATTAGGCCAAACTTCCCACGCAGAAAATATTGTGTTTTCTGGTGGTCTTTGGTGACCCCTCTGACACCCTCCTCATGACACCCACAAGGGTCCCAACTCCCAGGTTGAGAAACACTGATCTACACTGTAAAATTAATGTAGTTTGACACCACTCAGGGTTTTGCTGAGGCTCCAGCACTCCTGGGCTGAGAAGGTCTTGGGAAACTACAACTCCCATTAATGTGTTGCCAAAGGTTTTCAGTTTTACAACACAGTGGAAGAGACTTAAAAAGCCAAAAAATTAAAAAAAATCAATTACAATGCATGCGCAAAACCACATATAAACAAATATATACACACATATACACATAGACACACACAAAACACATATAAACAGACTAGGCCACAGCAACACATGGCAGAAGATGGCTAGTATGCATATATACACACACACACGCATGCGCGCGCGCGTACACTGGTCGAATAATGTCCAGGGTGGGAGAAAGAACTCTTGCCTGCTGGAGGCAAGTGTGAATGTTGCAATTGGTCAGCTTGATTAGCACTGAATGGCCTTGCAGCTTCAAAGCCTGCCTGCTTCCTGCCTAGGGGAAACACATATACATTCACCGGTCGAATAATGTCCAGGGTGGGAGAAATAACTCTTGCCTGCTGGAGGCAAGTGTGAATGTTGCAATTGGCCAGTTTGATTAGCACTGAATGGCCTTGCAGCTTCAAAGCCTGGCTGCTTCCTGCCTAGGGGAAACACATATACATTCACCGGTCGAATAATGTCCAGGGTGGGAGAAATAACTCTTGCCTGCTGGAGGCAAGTGTGAATGTTGCAATTGGCCAGTTTGATTAGCACTGAATGGCCTTGCAGCTTCAAAGCCTGGCTGCTTCCTGCCTAGGGGAAACACATATACATTCACCGGTGGAATAATGTCCAGGGTGGGAGAAAGAACTTTTGCCTGCTGGAGGCAAGTGTGAATGTTGCAATTGGCCAGCTTGATTAGCACTGAATGGCCTTGCAGCTTCAAAGCCTGCCTGCTTCCTGCCTAGGGGAAACACATATACATTCACCGGTGAATAATGTCCAGGGTGGGAGAAAGAACTTTTGCCTGCTGGAGGCAAGTGTGAATGTTGCAATTGGCCAGCTTGATTAGCACTGAATGGCCTTGCAGCTTCAAAGCCTGCCTGCTTCCTGCCTAGGGGAAACACATATACATTCACCGGTTGAATAATGTCCAGGGTGGGAGAAAGAACTTTTGCCTGCTGGAGGCAAGTGTGAATGTTGCAATTGGCCAGCTTGATTAGCACTGAATGGCCTTGCAGCTTCAAAGCCTGCCTGCTTCCTGCCTAGGGGAAACACATATACATTCACCGGTCGAATAATGTCCAGGGTGGGAGAAATAACTCGTCTGCTTGAGACATGTGTGAATGTTGCAGTTGGCCTGCTTGATTAGCAGTGAATGGCCTTGCAGCTTCAAAGCCTGTCTGCTTCCTGCCTGGCGGAATCCTTTCTCGGAAGGTGTTAGTTGGCCCTGACGAAGGATTCCTCCAGGCAGGAAGCAGCCAGGCTGTGAAGCTGCAAGGCCATTCAATGCTAATCAAGATGGCCAATTGCAACATTCATACTTGCCTCCAACAGACAATTCTTTCTCCCACTCTGCATATTATTCCACAGGTATACAAACCTCACTTGCCTTGTTTCCAATAGACTTCACAAACCTTTGAGGATGCCTGCCATGGATGCAGGCGAAACGTCAGGAGAGAATGCTACTGCCACATGGTCATACAGCCCATACAGGAAAACTCACAGCAACCCAACTCCCATTGATCTATTAAGGCAGGGGCGCAGAGGATTGGAGAAGAAAAAGGGGACCCTAAAAAGGAGGCTGGGAGAGGGAGAAGGAAGCACTGCCCATCCTCCTTACTCCCAGGCCATCACCCCTGTCCTTTGCCCACCGTCCCCACTCCAAGAAACCCTCCTTTTTCCCCTCGCTTCCCCTCGCTTTCAAGGGGATTTTAGGGTGCCCCCCTTACCTCTCCAAAAGCAGCTTTGACGCACGGCGCTTCCTGGGAGGAAGGAGGAGGAGGCGCATGTGGGCTGGCCAGATGCCTCTCCTGCTGCAGCCTGGGAAATGTAGTCCTCCCAGCTCTCAAGCCCAGCCCAAGGAAGGAAAGAAAGAAAGAAAGAAGCAAAGAAGGGAGGGAAGGTCATCTTTCCATTTTCTACCAAGATGCCCCAAGCTCCTGCACCTTTGGAGGTCTCTCGATCACAGGGTTGTCATAACCTGAAGTCAGCTTGAAATGCAGAGAGGGATTGTTGTTGTTCATTCATTCAGTCGTTTCTGACTCTTCATGACCTCCTGCAACAGCCCAGGCCAGAGCTCCCTGTCGGCCGTCACCTCCCCCAGCTCCTTCAGAATCAAGCCAGTCCCTTCAAGGATGCCATCCATTCATCTTGCCCTTGGTCGGCCCCTCTTCCTTTTTCCTTCCACTTTCCCCGGCATCATTGTCTTCTCTAGGCTTTGCTGTCTCCTCATGATGTGGCCAAAGTACTTC